AACCGCACAGTTAAAACAACGGTTTATCAATTTGAGAATTAATAAATATTTCATATGCAAAGTAATATAAAAAATAATGCACAATGACAAAACTGGAATCCAACGTTCACATAATGAACAAAAAGAAAACAACAACAGTGTACAAACAGAAAACAACAACAATTTACAAACAGAAAACAACAACAATGTACAAACAGAAAACAACATCAATGTACAAACATAAAACAACAACAATTTACAAACAGACAAACAACAACAATGTACAAAGAGAACAACAACAATGTACAAACAGAAAACAACAACAATTTACAAACAGAAAACAACAACAATGTACAAACAGAAAACAACAACAATGTACAAACAGAAAATAACAACAGGAACTGATGATTCGAAACAAAAGAAATACCACACTTGAATGAGTTTAGAGATATTGCGATATTATCGTGAAATTAAACATTCTTCCCCGAGGAAAAAGGTACTAGATCCACTGTTTCCGTCATTACGTAAAAAGCAATAAACAACCTGGCATGTTTCAAGCTCGCTGCACACGGTCACTTCCTAGCGTTTGTATGAAATTTTAAAGTTTGTTGTTCAACTCTTGTATACTATTTCTGGCATCAAGTTTAAACTCCATGACGAAATATATTTTAAAGGGAAATAACGGGTATGGCATAGGAACAGGACACATATGGACTGGATATCTTGTAAGTATGTGGACCGTGGCATGCATCAAGCTCGAGAGGAAAAGTGTCACAAAAATATACCTCTGAATTAACCTAAGGACAAAATCCGAACTCAATCTAATTATGAAAAAGGCAGCACAGCATCACATGAGAATCAGAAACCGCAAAGGTATGATCAATAACGGCAGGTTGGGTGCCCTTTTATCCTTTGTAGACTGACAATATCATATTGAATCACAAGATCTCCAGAAATAAGAAAAGGCATCAGGCCATATTTAGAGGAAATCTGTTAATTTTTCATGCATTTCGATACCGCTCAGCTGATTCTAAATTATTAAAGAAACCTATCTGAACAAAATAGATGCATAAAGACATAAGAGAAATCACAGGTAGAATGAATGTATATGGTAGCATATAAAAAAAGATATGCAAAACCAAATTAAGGTGGGACATTGCAGTTTCCCACCTCTTTTCATCGTTACATTGTTACATGCTGCAGGCAAGATTGTGTGAAACCACAAAGCTGTTTACATAACGAGGTATACATGTACTTTACTATAAACAGATATCATGAGATCGTGTCTAGTTTATGTTAACTGGGAGTAAGCGTCGCGTACTATCAGAGAAGTTTAACTTCACAGAAGGTGGAGAAATGCCATTTTTGAAGAAAAAATAACCTGGAGCATGTCCGCTTTTCGATTTTTTAAATATATATCTTGGTATGTAAGGGTTGAATCAAGAAACGAAAAACAAATTTGCTTTTTAAGAATAATACAGAGCATAATAGAGCACTCTGAAGGACACCTGGTTTGTATTTTAAGGTAGGGATATACATCTATATCAGTTTTATATATAAGTTAATTTTCATTTGAAAGCGAGAAAATCGTTTTCCAACAAAATAATTCTTATTTTGATACTTCTTCTATTTTGTAAAATAATACTTAGTATCATCAAAATGGCACAACGTTATGTTAAGGAAGTCAAGCTCTTGATTTTTAACTTTTTTGAGAATGTTTAATAGCTATGTTCCTATTTGGAGAAATATGTTTAACACATCCAAATTGCGTACAATCAGCGTTTTTTGCATATATCAATTTGATAATAAAAAGGCAACAAAAAATATGCAATGACTGAGATTTTACTTCACTGGAATCCATTTTATATCATCCTTATATAATTATTGTTATATTGTATAATCTGAAGTAGGTATTCGATATTGTTATGGTTTCTACTGAGTAGATATTGGCACAGCTAATAACAATTAAAACAATTTTAGAAACAAAGTATTACCTGTTGTTTCCAAACGTTGTATATTTTTAACGTTATAAAGGTATTTTGGAGGTATTTCTCCTTACGCCGTTTTTATGTTTAATGTTCATAACGTAACACTTTAGGTTGGAATTAGTTCCTGCAGGTAGGGCGTAAGAATTGTACCTGCTGCCTCCATTGCATGATCGTAAGAGGCGACTAAATTTTGGATCCTATCTTTTTTCTTCTTTCTTAACAACTTTCTTCTTCCTAATGTCTCCCTTGACAATGCCTCACTTTTGGCCTTTAGTTGAGCGTTCACCCCCGTGAGGAAGGCGTTGGGTTCTGTCCCCTGGCCAAGACATACCAGAGTCTGTAAAAATGGTAGTTTCTACTCCTGCTTAACGCTCAGCAATTTAGGAGTGGGACGACTGGTTGGCCCGTTGTCAGTATAATGTGACCGTGTGTGGTGTCCTGCTGGGCGTCTTCGGCAGCATGTTTCAGTGAGGTAGCGCTATTAAGTCGGCAGTTCCGCGCTATCGCAAGGAGACAAACACGAACATATCGCAGCCTCCCAAAACACACAAGCATACACTACACGCTTGCATCTTGCACACAGGGGATGAACAAAGCTGCTGATAGGACGTTAAAACAATACTAAACGAAACCAAACCTAATAGGTTGGAATTTTCAATCTTTTAACATAAAGTAACATTGACGAAATAGCCATACGGTGCAGTAAGTTAAAAAAAACTTGTTTTATAATTGTTGTAAAATATGTAAAGGTTATTTTCGTTAATATTCTGTATCGACATTTTAAGAAAAACTAATAGAGTTTTCATTCTTCGTACTTTTAGTGAATGTTTTATTTTTAAAATTTATATGCGATATAATTCGTACTACTTACTCGGTTATATATCTATACAATTTTTATCACTGTTTAGTATTCTACAACGATGTCGGTATTTATAGCTTATATCTGACATTGTTTATTGTAACGTACATAAATATATGCACAAACATAATGCCTTAAAATGACTTAATTGACTTTGCGGTCTTAATAGGTTTTACTAATGATAATAGCATGTCTAATACATATCCTTTGATATACACATACCATGTATATTTCTGTTTAAATATATTCATAGCCCTATTATGATTGCGGTTTTAAATGTACAAATCATGATGACTTTTAAAAACATTGTATCTCATGATACTTTACCGTTAAAATCATTTTAAATGCGTTTTGTCAGACATCAACGTCAAAATGCAACATCGTATAGACAAGACATTTACCTTCAGCACCCGCCCACAAAATTCACAGATGTCTCCGAAAGGCACGCGAAACTTCTGTTTTATATCACTGAAACGCACCGGAACCGGAAGTGGTGTTAAGATTGTTGTTGCTTTTCAACAACAATATCTGTCTGATATGCGTGTTCATCTCCCCTCTTGTTTGTATAGTTTAAACATTTTCACTTTTTTATGGTTTTGTTGAAGTATTACAGAATTGTTAGTAACGAGACGTCATACGAGTTGCTACATGTGGGGCCAAAAGCACAAACCATTCTACTTTTCCAAAATCACATAGTTTTCCCACCATTTTCATTGTCGTAATGTTCGATGATATTCTTCTTTTTCCTTGATGCCTCCTTATTTTCACGTGCTATTTATATAGTTGTCCAACGACGATAGATTAAACCTACGCTACATACATATGATTTGTCATACGTTACTTGTTCTGCAGTAATTAACTGTGAATTACTGCAATTGCTGCTTTCGTCCCATGTGATTGTGGAGTATTGATGTTTTGATGTTAGTGTTCCACACCGAATGTGGAATTACCGTATTTGCTGTTTTTGTTCCCTACGTGAACATAACCTGTCTCTATTGGCTGTTGTTGTTTGCCTTTTTGTACCTTGAATTACTGTATTTGCTCTTGTTGTTCCCCACGTGAAAGTGAAACTACAGTATTTGCTGTTTGCTTCGGAATCGAGATTTTCTTCCGCATCTTCTGCCAAGATGACATGGAAGAAATCAAAATTGATTTGCTGCTCTCGTTGCATTTCTTGTTTGTTTGTTTGAGTGGTTTTATGTCCGCTTCACTACCGAGTAGTTCAGTAGTTCAGTTAGTTCATTCCAGTAGGCGACCCCCTCCCCTCATTTGAGCACTTTGGATCTTTTTCATTTTCCTATCTTTTCTGTCTTTTTCTTTTCTATCCCTTTTCTGTTTCAAGTGATGTCTACCTAGGCACCCGTCCTCAAATGACCTTGGATGTCGTGAGGACTTTAAACCCCAAACAAACAAACAAACCTTGCCTGTGAAAGAGAAATTAGTATATTTGCTGATGGTGGTCCTCTGTGGTTGGTAAATAATGCTATAAGTCAAATATTTGCTGTAGTTGTTTAAATGTGAATGTATTATTACTGCATTTGCTGTTGTAAGTTTGACTTACATGACTTTTGTATGTTAAGGCAAAAAATAGGAAACAAATTACACCACAGCGTCAACAAACAAAAACAAAATCAACTCAATAGGTAATATGGAAAATCAATAACTGGAACTGAAAGATAACAGGTACCCTCACATACACTGGATGCGACACCAGATTGTAACACTCGTTATTGAACTCCTGACAAATGAAGGAAAGTGAACATTCATAAGTTACTGCAGAAAAAGTAACACTTTTGCATTTCTGATTTTTTTATGCGGTATTTGATTCAATTATTAACTTTAACTTAATCATCACTGAAAACACATGTGAACTCATTAGGAAATTTCAGGGTTTGGTTTGGTTTGCTTGTGTTTTACGTCCTAAAACAGCTATGGTTGTAGATATTTAGGGGTGAATGAGTTGAAATGTGTACAACACGAATGCGTTTAATTTGGTCGCTATATGTTCGCATTCCAAATAACGAAATTTCTATAACTTCGGGGAAGTGATTTTAAAAATGTTTTATTCATTATCTAACATTTGAATATTGCTGTAACTCTTGTTTTTTTGATAGATTCAATGCAGGAGATAAGGGAATCGCCCTGAGGGGGTTTCAACACCTACTCGACATCACCACACAAGGGACGTGACTGTTGTTTCAGGAGTTCATGGAAACCCACCAGATACACGAAATGATGGAGGGAGTAATCCCGACCACAGGTAAGTAAATTATACAAAATAGTTAAACACGCATAATTAGAACGGTTATTATGCGGACAATGTAATACAGTCGAACGTCGTTATTACGAGGTGGGATATCTCGTAGGCTTCGGCTAGCTCGAAGTCGGTTGTCTTGATCGATGACAGTTTAAGTAGGTATTTATATATCCGATTGTCTCATGTCCTTAAGCATAATGAAGATGACTGTACTTTATATCAAAGGTGTATTGTATAATTGTGAAGATACTTTTAATGATTATTTCACAATAGAAACATTCATGTACGGATGGATAAATACATCTGTTTATATACTATACCAAATTATATAAATAAATATACCTAAATCCTTTTATTTACTTTTCTCCAAAACAAATAGAGTTCATTTTAAACGTTTTATTTATATGTGTTTATCAAGTAATAGCGGTGTATACTGATACAATTATAATGTTGATCCACATCCACATTAGCAGATCTGAAACAGTGTTTTTGAAAACTTCATGATAATAATTTGAAAGATTTTCAAAGTAATACATGAGTTACCTTCCATATACCCCTAATTTTAAAACAAATCACAGGTAAATTGTTTATTGTCGAATATAACTTTAACTCTTACACAAATAAGAGGTATAATGTGTAAAGTAACATATAACATTAACTCCATCATAAATTACAGGTATAATACGTAGGGTAACACATAACCATTACTCAAGCACAAATCAGAGGTATACTGTGTAAGGAATCATAAAACCTTAGCTTACACAATTCACACATATAAGGTGTAAGGAAGCATATACCTTTAACTCAAACATAAAGCACAGGTATTGTGTGTAAGGAAGCATATAACCTTAACTCTTAAACAAGTCACAAGTATAATGTGTAAGGTAGCATGCATCTTTAACTCTAGCACGATTCAAAGGTATAAAACATAAAGAAGGATCTATCCTTTACTATAACAAAAATAATCGGCATAATATGTTATATTGCATACATTATACTTTTGCATAAGACATAACAACAATCATATATATGACGTCACTACGGTGTGTATTGTATTACGTCATAATGTACGGCAGCATGCATTTCATTCTCCTGAAAAGCTATATAGCAGCAAAATGCCTCGAAGATCAGTCTTCTGGTAATTTTATTTTTTTGTATCATTTTCTTATCAGAAGGACTTCAATCTAATTATGTCAGGGAGATAACTCATCGGTATAATTTTTAAGATAGCATATAATTTAATTTACTTTAAGACAAATACTTGTCTCTCTGTGCCGGAAACAAACATAACGACGCAGTTTAATCACGACTAAAATGTGTGTTTTTGACATTTGATGACAACATAATTATTAGCTGGAAGTTCACATGATTGTGGTTATGACGTCGTCACATCAATCAAATTATACAATTTACCACCCACGTTTGCTGAACTGGTATAATATGACCTCGCTTTTGCAGAAGATGGAATTCGACGAAAGACATACATATACAGAGCTATGATCCTAGTTATAGTAGTAGTGTCTTTTCTGATGCTGTCCAATGAAGGTCAGGGAGAGTCATCTTCTCTTAAAATATCACAGAATCCACCATTACGACCCGAACGACAGATAGATACGTCTTTTCAATTCGCATGGGTGACTCAGACTGGTGTGCACGTCACAAAACCAGCTAACCAATCAAGTATCGAGGTTGCAGCTACTGCGGCCGTGTATACCTATGCTTTCAATCAGGTAAGTTATTCCAACTTCCCCTCCAAGGGGAGCCTTTGAGTAAAGTGTATCTATTTGTTCACTGTTCCTATGTGGCATGTCTTTTTGTCAAATGGATGTAACTTTTTCGGCCTTTCAATCAAGTCATGTACAGGGATGCAATGGATTTGGACTATATTTTGATTGGCTAGAAATTTGATTTGTTGAATAGTTCTATCTAGACCACCAATATTTGAATTTTGTTGATTTATTTATTAATATTTTTCTTTATATTTATAACTTTTTGCTGAACATAACTTAACTTTTTCTTGAAGGTACATAAGCAGACTTAATTCTAGAAGAAACAAAACTTAATTATGTTTGGAAAAACAGGATTTGAAGATACAGAATAATAGATTCACGTATATCAAACAAATAATTATCTGCTTGTAACACTTAAACATTTTTACTGATTGGTGTTCTACTTTCAAAATATGTGTTTTTGTTACAAGGGTTCTGATTGGTGCATTGCTATGTACATTTGTTACAGGGATCCCGATTGGTGTATCTACTTGTCAGATATATGCGCAATGACACCTTTATCCGCGTGGCTAACACTATCACTGTGGGGATCTTTAACTCTGACGAATTCCCGAGCGACTTTCCTGAGTATAGTCCAGTTGAACTCGAGTGTAAATGTAAGTTACACCATCACTATTGTCTCAAATATATTGTATACATATTCTAATGAATCCATATTCTCTCAGTTAGATTGTAATAATATTCTCTCAGTTACAACATAAACTCAATTACAATGTTTAAACGTTGTCTCGGTTACAATATTTTCATATTCTGTTAGAAGAAATAAACATTCTCTCATTTACAATATATCAAAACTCTCAGTTACAATGTATAAACATTCTCTGAATAACAATATGTAAATGTTCTTTTAGTAATAAATTATAAATATTCTCTCAGTTACAACATATACCATTCTCTAAGTTAAAATATATAAACATTTAGTCAGTTACAATGAATTATATTCTCGTATTTACAATGTGTTACTATGCTCTCAATTACAATGTATTAACATTCTCTATGTTACAATATATGCACATTCTCTCAATTACAATGTAATAGGTTTCTCTCAATTACAATTTATACTCATTCTCTAAATAACAATGAATTATCTTCTCTTATTTTCAATGTATTGATATTTTCTCTGTTACAATATACAAACAATCTCTCAATAACAGTATATAAACATTCTCTCAGTTACAATAACTAATATTCTCGTATTTACAATGTATTAAAATTCTCATGGTCATAATGTATAAATATCATTTAAGTTACAATACACTCACATTTTCTCAAGTACACAACGCATAAACATTATCTTAGCTACATTAAATATCTTTATTTCGATTACAACGTTTTAATATTGTCTTATTAACGTTGTACCAATATGCTCTTATCTAAACAAAAACAAAAAACTCTCAGTACTGTATGATTTCAATATTCAATATTAAACTAGACATGTGCCCTGACCATTGTTCGAAATTCTGTGATGACGGCCTGCCCATTGCAATGAAATGGTCGTACCCAGGGAGACGGATGGTTGTCACGGCCGGAAATCTTCTTTGTGGTCAAGATGGTCAATTTGACCCCGAGTTTGGAGAGATGAATCTACTGGTCCAAGATTTTGCCGAAGCACTCGTGAAGTTTGTCTTGCCACTCGACGTTGTCAATAACGTAGGTATTGACCGTCATCATGTCATTTTTATGAAAGACATCCGTACCACTGCTAAAAACTGTATACCTGCATTGGAAATAGTTTGCCCTATGTCTTTAAAATAAGTTAAGAAAAGAAATCGATACCTTGCAGATGGGTTTTTTCTTTTTCTTTAAATAAACAAAAATATCAACAAACATTTTCTGAAAACAAAACATGCAACAAATGAAAAAAGGATTAGAATTTGAACCTTTAAATGGTATAGTATAACTCCAACTTAGCTACCTTGTCTACAGTAGAACCCCTTGCCCATTCGTGCTTCTGTTAAAGCCAAGACTGAATATTAAAGGGGAGGCTACTGTATGTATTATAAACTACAATAGTTATTCTCTAGTGTTTTGCTTTCAGTGAGTCAGGGGTTCTTAATTTTCTAATATATGTTATCGTGATCAGAATCGCATCTCCTTTCAAAAGATTTCCACACAAGACACCTGTTAAATACCTTTATTAATTAATTATCTTGTTCCACTAAAGGCAAAACACTGATACGGTAAAATAAAACAGACAACGCCTCTTTGTAGACTCTATATGCATACACACAGTGGTGTGTAGCAGGCTTATACTTTTCGACTTTTCGAGGACTATGCATCTACGGCTCTTGCAGACAGAAGAATGTATATTCTACTTTGTAGAGAATATATCATCGGGTTTTGCAGAATGAAGGCATCTTTTACTTTACAATATTATAACTCTTGTCATTTAACCAGAATCAGGGAACTGCTAGAACCAAATTCTTGTCATATCCTACACACTGTGCTGTTTTCTCTCGCGTCAACGTCATCATGTGAACTCACGTCATGATATTTTATTTAAGATCATTGCTGCGTACAACTCCTCGCGAACAACGTGGGATTTGCATCCGTCCAATTACATTACCTACTTCCGGCAGGGAACGGCCACGTGGTTTGCGGCTACAAGCAAATCCGCCTACGAGACCGGTAAGTTTAAACCGTTACTCCCGGGGTATTTGTGTTTCTCTAAACTCTCCTATGATAATTTATCGAGAGGATGCACGGTTCCTCCAATATCAGATCTTAGATAATTGAAAAAAATTATGGCATGGATATTTGAAAAGATGACAGTAAGACACACACATACGATTGCACATGTAAAATTTCGGTCATTATGCAGTATGCAAAACATGAATGACAATGCACCATACAGCTGCATGGTCCTAATAAGACTTTAGGAACAAATATGCGCGAATTCTGCAATTTTAGCGTTTATATGAGTGTTTAATGATCACTTTAAATGTTTATAAAGCGTTGTGCAAGGACAACTATGTTTGTATTCTTGGTAAAACTTTCATGAATATATTATTTTGAAGTATATTTAAATGCTTCTCAGTAATGTTATGAAACTATATATTTGTGTTTTTAATTATTTGAACAAACTTTTCAAATGTGCTTAATAGAAAATGAATTATTAATTCAGTTTTACCTAACTCGGCAGCATGGGTCATGGTCATATTATGTTAAACTTGAACCTGTATTGACCAACATGGTTAGTTACAACTCGATTTGATATTAAATATTTCTTTTAATTATTGACAGGAGGCATGAACATATGCAGCAACGCCCGCCCATGCATCACAGAGATAGACCTCAGACGTAACATTAAGACCAGGGACGTGCCTCTCTTTGATATACTTAACACTGTTTATAACTTCGAGCGGTGGAATATGACGGGAAATATATCCATATGTGCCTGGTGATAGAGTAATGAAATCAAACATTTTCCTTTTCTTAATTTACATAGTATAAATATGATTTGTTGTAGAGTGAGGGTTATATGTCATATAACTCTTTATGAATATGTTATTTTAAAATTTGCATATGTGTTTTAGAATTGTGATTTTTTGTTTTAGAGTTGTGATTTGTCTTGAAGAATTAAGGTATATCAAACGTTACACAGGATACCGGTAACTCATGTTAGAATTGATGTTATATGCTTATCTTTATAACATACTTGTGAATTATGTTAGAGCTGATGTTACATGCTACACTACAAATTATACCTGTGATTTATGTTTGAGATATGATCGTTAATGCTATCTGACTTATTTTAAATATAATTTGTGTAATTAAGTAAATGCTACATTACACGTTATGAATTTAATTTCTTTCGGATTTAAGGTTGTATGTTAAAATACTTATTACACCCCTTCCTCGATACTCCAGGGGTTATGCTCACTTTTGCTCACTGCAGCCCTGGGATATGTCATAGCAAAATTGAAGGCACGATGCTAGCCATATGATTGGTATTGGGTCAAAAAAACTGTCCGAATGTTAGGCTGATACCTGTCCTTTGTATATTAACGAAAGGAGAGATGCCCAACTTCAAATCCAGTCCATTTTACCGTTACGGGACCTATACATCTGTTTTATGTCCACCAAAGGATCAAACTAGTCTTTTAGTCTCATCCTCCACAAGGTGGCACACCCCGATCCCTTGATTTTGCTATGACATATTACAGGGGAGTATACAGTAGAAGTGAGTTTAACCCCTGGATATCGAGGATGATTACACCCCTGATTTGTGGTAGTCAGGTTATTCCAACCTCCATTCATACGGTTTTCCTACTATTAAGCCAGTTCCCGGAGCATTGACCTCTCCAAAAGTTTGCCAGTTTTCCAGCCTCCTGGTTAACGAAGGCTCCACTGTAAATATGCCCTCGTGTTATTCTTCTTAGAGAAAAAGTTACGTATCACAGTTTTCGTTTACTGTAAATCACTTGTATGTTGCAAGCTATGTATTCTTTCGTGTTAATTCGAGTTGCGTGATAATTGTGAATTTAAATATATTTTATAATGTTATTTCATACGAATTCAAGATATTGAATATGTAAATATTACAATTTGTATTTTCAATGGCGTTTAAATGAATATAATTTGAACGAAGCAGTCCATTTGTTTTGTGTCTAGATCTCTCTTACACTTAAATAAACTTTTACAGTTAAGATTGGATTCATTAGATAGAAAGTCTTCATTGATACTCCAGGGGTTACGCTCACTTTCGCGCGCTGCACCCCTGTAATATGTCATAGCAAAATTGAAGTCTCGGTGTGCACCAAGAAGACTAGTTCGATCCTTTGATGTACATCAAAAGAATCTCGCGGTTACGTAACGGTAAAAATAGCAGGCTTTGAAGTCGAGTGTCTCTCCCTGTAATCTTCAAAAGACAGGAATCAGCCTGGCGATTGGTCAGTTCTTTTTACCTAAGACGAACTAAACAGCTAGCTTCGTGTTTTCAATTTTGCTATGACATAAATCAGGGGTGCAGAGAGCGAAAGGGAGCGTAGCCCCTGGAGTATTGAGGATGATATAAAGTAAACCGGCTACGAAAAGAATTGAGCTTATATATATTGTACTAATTTGTATTAATATTAATATCTTTGACTTAACCGTGTTGGCTTATTGATTTAATTATTAAGGCATACACAGGGGTATAAAACGCTACCGTTGTAACGTCATAAAAATGACGACGAAAACAATAGGACAGTGTTATTTGTAAAGTTGTTATAGTGAATATATCATTAAGTTCAAATAAAAAAAAAGAAGATTAATCACAAATTAAGAAATAGGTGTTAAAGTGATTCTTTGAGGTGGCCTCCATTTTGTTTTGATATATATATGTTTTTATGTTGTTTCTGTGATGATGTGTTCCAGTTTGTTTCCGAGCATGAGCGATACCAAAAGATTGTATCATTATTCGCTGACGTTTTGTCTGTTCTTGTCCAGAGGCCAAAACATACTGAAGAAAAAATATACTTTAATCATTTTATTCAAGAGATTCATAACACTTTCACATAGTATTGAAATACAAAGAAAATGTTTCCACACAGCAACAATTTAATTGTGGTATTCAAATGTACATTATAACATGTCCTCAAACGTAACCACAACTACTAATTGTTCAAGTACTTTTATCACAGATAGCTATATAACATAACAATCACGAATTCATCTATTTACAATACTGCACACAGCGCTGTTTTGGCGGCAGAGTTATTTTTGCGCTTGTAATGTGTTGAAGAGATGTAAACAGGAAAAGTTAAGAAAATATAACACTGTCAATAAAATACGTTAGAAATTAACCATTCTCAACAGAACACAAAATTTGTGAATTCCCTATCAATGGCGAAAATTACAATCCGATAAAACAGAGCTGTGTACAGCACATGTCATATACTCATTAACATATTAAGTATTGTGAATAAAAAATCGTCATTGCATAACAATGTAATACTTATCAAGTACAAGTAGAGAATTAATCACACATGAAGATAAATGAGGTACAAGGTCTACGTATAAGTAAATAAGTAATTGATTGTAATAATTTTTACAAATAATCTTCGGACATGTCGGAACACCAATATCAAGAAATGTTGATACGAAAAGGCACATATCTAAATAATAGAGTCAATACGCTGAGAGAACATGAACTGTACATGTATTAGATTATTTAATAAAAAAACTTTTTTTTTCAAATTTTCAAGGGTTTCAATTCAACACAACAAAAATGAATGCAATACTGGTTGAAAATGATTTTTCAAATGAGATTTGTCACAGTATTGGAAAATATTGTTGAATTGAGATTGTTTGTAATAATGCTGAAGGAAGGCGCAAAATAAAAGAACGATTTGGGGTTATCCTCATAATTAAAACTTCCTCCGTAAAAATTAAAACATTTACAATTGTTACCATCATTTCCTTTTGCTCTATTTCGACATGTTTCAGAACACATAAGATATTGATTTTAAGTCCTTACCTCATTTACCCCCTGAAGACACAGTTGAACTCTCCCAATGCAAAAGTTGGACTAATTCATTATGAAATATCAGGGGTGAATGAGTTAATGCAGTAAACGTTTACTTTGTTTGTATTTCTGCAATAACTTTTTAAGTTTTTAAATAAGTTTTTTTCTTATTTTGCCTATCTAACCCATTATGCGTATAAATCTCTATTAGGAATGATAAGTTTATGAAGGAATGACGTCATTTTCGGATTGATTTCGAACTACAATGTTCTTATTATCTTTTCTTTTTAAATTAAGCTGCTTTTTAAAAAGTAAGTGAAAATAATTCAGATACCAAATCGTTCAATTATTGAATTCCAGACCATTAATGATTAATTTTTCATTAATACACACTGGTACACATTGAACATCCACACAGACACACTCGCTCAAAGATTGGCACAAACAGTGATATGAGATTAGTGTCATTTTAATCTTATTAGCTAAAAGTTCATCAAACTCCGTTATTAAGATTTTTAAAGCTGACTGGTGGTCAGTCTTACGGAATTTGAAGGTCGATTACCTACAAATTAATCCCTAAAAATATCTATTCCGATTCCTCAATTTCCCCACATGACCCTAAGAAACACCGATTTCATTGTAATATAAACTAGGTTATATAGAAAGTCTAATTATCGGGAGGTAACTTTGATCCCATGGCAACTTATTTCTATATATTTTTGCTAGGATATATGGGATATTTCATAATTTGTTCGACATAATAAGGTTTGCATATTCGAAAAAGATATCACATGGATTCAAAGTTCATCGTACCCTCGATACTCCAAAACTCAAGATACCATAGCGTACATATTGGTTACAGCGAGACATTTACGAAGATTACTGTATTTACACAACAAACCATCTACCAGTATATTTTTCCTGTGTACGTTTTTGCAATTGTCATTTAAATGTTTACATTATGATGCTTTCATTTTGAAGGAAATAACATCTGTTTGAAACATTGTACTTTGCAGAACGATTTGTTACGTTTTTTTAATAACATTAAACTACATGTACTATGTTTTAAATAGCGAACAGTGCCGTGATTGCTTTATTGTGATTTTTATTTAGCAAAGCATTGTGCATTTCAATGATAAACGCGGGATTCTTTGATGTGCATCATGGTCAATATCACCGTTTGAACACATAAAGCACTGTATATATCTTCATTTCTGCCAGATTTCTTTTCACTTTAATTCATTCGAAGAATAATTCCTAAACATGAATCTAATTTCCATCGATTTTGAAATAGTACCCTCTTGATCTTGAGTTGAAGTATTCACAAATAAAACTGATACAATATGCCAGTGAATAGTGATAGTGAATTGATTTAAATATCTGTTAGGCACTTCCAGCTTTCTTATATAAAGATCAATTCTACTCATAAGAGATCAAAACATGAACCCATTCTAAGGGTTCATGTAAATCTAACATGGGATGGCGAACCTATCAAAAAATGTAATTGGTTGAATTCAAATGATTCACCAAAATAGTCAATCCGGTAAAGATTTCATCCTAGCTGTTACATGTAACATTACCGAATTCAAATAGCAGACATTTCATAAACTTAAAGAACTATAAACATCGATTAAATGACGGTTGTCTCCATGGTCTGCCGTGTCCCTACTGCATTCAGAACTGAAATTACTTGATCTTTCTAAAATCTTATTTTCGAGGATGGTCCTAAAGATTTTTCGAATTTCGATTTACCTTGATTTGACATATTTTTCAGATCGCCGAATCCCATGGGCAATTGTCCGTACTGCTGATTTTTACTTCCAAACTTGACAGGTGCGGTTGTAAGACCAACAGGCTGAGGGGCTACCATACTGTACTCATTATTTCCCTTGTTCCATGCACCAAGAGGTTTCGGTTTGAAACTGTTCTTTCTAGGGGTATAGCTGCGGGGTAAACCTGCGTCTGCCGAATGGAAGATCTGCGGTTTGAGAGGAGGTAGCATTGGTTCTCTGTGCTGCTTCCCGTTGTGACCAACTGATGGCGTCACGTGTCGACGTCTTTCCTCAGTTAGTTCCAGATCTTCTATTCCGGCAGTACTAGACATGGAACTAGTAGACCTCGGAGACCTGGTATTACCTCCGTTGAATTCGACAGTCAGTCTTGTCTTTGATTCCCCAGCAATTGACATAGTTTTCATTTTCAGCTCTCTCTCCTTTTCAAGATCTCCAATTTTTCCTTTCATCTTGGCCATCTCGTTTTCGTACATCTGGAGTCTGGTATCCTTAACCCGGCATTCCTTTTTCACGTCCTGAAGCTGATTCCTCATGACATTCATGATGGCTGCTTGCCAAACACTGGTGCCTAGTTGGAATTTGTTGTTAGTTTCCACTTTTTCTTTATTCATGTCCACCATTTTGTCTTTCTGTTCCTCTACAAGACGTTGAAAGCCTGTCATTTTGCTTTCCAGTTCTTGCATATTGGAGTCATTTGTTGCGACGAAATCCCGATATGCTTCTCTTAGTGTAGGTTTTCTTTCGGCATCTGTATGCCCCATGTGTGCTAACACGTAATCCTTCTCCTCTAGAAGTTCATGATACTTTCTACGAATCAACAATAAGTCCTGATAGGATTCCATCACTATATCCATATCTTCTTCCATGAACGCGAACTCGTACGACTGTTTTTCCATTTCTTCCTTTTCATTATGGGGATACTGTCTTTTTGATACGAGTTTGGTAATTTTATTGTTTACACCCCTCAGTGTTCTCTCGGTTAACTCCAGTCGTTTACTCGTACGCTGTAAAACGGACTCATTGACCTCGGTATATTTCAGCTGTTTACCTAAATCAGACATCCTCTTTGTTTCCAGTTCCTTAAGCTCTTGTTTCATGACGTTGATTTGAGATCTCAGAACTGCGGCATTTTCCTTTTCATCTTTTAATTCATGTTCCAAAACGTTCGCAACTTCTTTTGTTTTCTTTTGTGCGATCTCATACGTGAAATGCTGATCGAGTTGGTCGCGCTTGGCGTCAAGCGCTTTGGCTTTCTCTCGGAAATCATGCTTCCAGACCATTCGTAAGGAGTCGCCTCGGAACTGAAGATTGATAAAACAAACAGTTTAATACATATTGCATGTTAAATAAGATAGACAATACGCCTACAAGTATAAAAAACAGCCTTGCTTCACTTTGGGTAACACATGGTTTGAAATAACTGCGGTTTCGATTTGGATATGTATATGTTACTAAACTGTGATCAAGACTTTGAGATTCTATTATATAGATTTTGTCCTAAATGTTATCATAATAAATGTGACCCAAATATAATTTATTTCAAACATGCAATCGTGCCTGTTTAACTCAGCTATCAATGTTTTGAATTTAACATTATTCAATTAACGTTATGGCGTCAACATTTTTCATTTTTACTCAAAGGTTTAACGCTCAAATAACAGTTCCATGTAGAGCTACTTTGACTACGAAAAAAGATGATTAAATTATTAAAATATACATTATTTTCACGTTTTTTTCGTGATCTTTGCGGTAAGGTTAGTTCGCTCATGAAATAAGACGGAATACATCGCTCTGCGAGTAACTTTAAAATTCCTAGAAATCTCAAAACCGCAAATCCAACGCTACACAAATTTGTTTATCCAAAAGGAACGCAAATAAAATGTCCAAGTTGAACATAGTAGCTCCTGTCGATCTAAATGTTTATATTGGGTTAAAGTTTCCGTCATTAATGAGAAAAAACTAAAAATACCTAGTTTACGTTTCCGATTTTTTTTTAAATTTCGTCATAGTACTTTCATTAAAAATATAACTGTTAACGGTTTCCTTTGATAAATTGAGCTGAATTAATCCAAGAAAAGTAAAACGTTTACAAACTTAAATTTCTCTTTGATAGAGATTGCAAGTTTTTAATATTATTATTCATTCAGAATATACTGAAAAAATAGAGAGAAAAAACCCGCAGCTAATACAAATGAAGTTGATTCAATAACAAAAAAAATATGTTATAGGATAAATTAAAGTTAGAAAATATCCAAACATTTATTTTTTCGAAAAATCATGACTCTGTCCTTATCTCGTGTCCGTCATTATTAATCACGTCATAATTGATTAATGGAAAGACTTAAGTTTGGACGCAAATTAATTTGTATAAGCACGTTAGCGAACCAGTGGATACCATTAAAATTAAAACAGATACTTGTTAATGTAATTGCTACTTCATCTCAAACTAAATTGATGAACTGATTTTGGAGCTAATATCTTGAAATAGTTTGCAGGGTCGCTAGGTATAACATAAGGCCAGAGTTTTACAGCATGATCGTTCAAAAAGCATTTTCTTCACTCGGAACTGATATACATGGGTGTGTACGAATACCTACTTTTTCCAAAAAGTAATCCTCCAATTCCTGCTTTTCGTGTTCTTTTAACCTTTCCAGGAACTTCATCTTTTTGTATAGTTCCTTAGAGTTGTATTTTTCACTGATGATATCTGTAATGAAAAATAAGCGTATGTCATTTTTTTTGCAACAAATGAAAAATAGCTATTATGATAATAATAATAATAATAATATACAGCATTTATATAGCGCCCTATATAATTTGTAAAATTACTCTAAGGCGCTTTACAACATATGGATAATAGTAATGGTTATAATTGTGAAAACAAACAACAAAGGCTTGCAATCACTTTCATACAATTAACAAGCAATGTGCACATCATTGAACAAATAAAAGGGTGGTATTTACATGACGTCTTTGCAAAGATTCTAAAATACAGACGTGAAGAGGTGAGTTTTTATGTCCCTCTTGAACTTGGCCAGGGTATCTTTGATCTTTGAAATGATTGGATACTTTTTTTGCCATCTTCTTTTATTTTTTACAAAATTTAAATCTGAAATGCTCATCTTAAGTTAACCTTAAGATTTTAAGTCAGTTCTATTTTTTTCGTGGATATATCAAATTCTTGTGCCATATGTACCCCCAAGTTTCAACTTTTTTATATTTTCACTAGAGTATCTCGATTCCTGGGGCCACATTAACGCCGATTTTCCATGCTTGTTAATTTCATGTATTTTCACGAGTATATATTGAAAACCCGTAGGGGTGGGGTTTGGGTTAAGAAAAACACTTAGAATACTGCATGTGAATAATTAAGTGTTGTGATGGAACGCACCTTCTTCACGCAGAAAGTCTGCCAGGAACTCGTGCCCGGTAAGTTGTAAGATATCACAGAAATGTTCGTACGCATGCGCACCACGGACAGGAAGTACCTCCAATACTCTTGAAATTTTGGCATCTCTGTCTTTTTGCGCCTGTAAAAATACAATGAAACATTGGATTGTCTTGTAAAGTCCTACGTTTAATAATCGTTCAAAACATCAGGAATAGTAAAAAGTCTTGATACCAACCGAAAATCTAGATTTCTTTCTAGACAATGTCAACTGTACGATATGTTTTGCATAAGAGTATAGTACGTTTTCAATTGAAAACATATTGTGACGACACGAAAATCGCTAAGAGTATTTTCTTCATTTTGTTATGTGTTTCACGTTATCGCAATAGCTAATAAGATAATATATGAAGACGGTTGTCTGAGGACACACACTGCCTAGATAAAATTAAGTAGGAAAAAAGAAGTGACCCAGATGTTTTGCAAAAGGATCAGCCGATCGATTGCGGTTCCTCCATTGTCCCTATGACAGTATGCACATATGAAAATCCTCGACGCATTAAGGGCCCAGCATCAGTCGCCTAATAAGTACATGAAATGGGATGCCGACGGTTTGCCTTTCCTCACAATGTGCAACAAGACAAGGTGAGTATAATGCTGCATTTATAAGACCTGTAAATGGCGCTATTTGTGCTTATCTTTAGGACTTTCTTTTAGTTTGCGAAAGGACCAATATCATTCCTATCATTTATCAATTATTTCAATGTGTCGAAATATGTTAACCGAATATTTGACTTTCCCCATGCAAAGTAGCGCAATGCATGGAAAAAAGAAATGCTTTATAATACTAGGTTGTTACAGTGAGGACCTATATAGTAGCCTTTCACTGCATTGGGCTAGAGGGAATTCCCTATTAGCTCAATCGGAACAGTTCTTGACAAGTCATCTGTAGTCCAAGGTTCGACCACTACCTCAGGCACTTGAAAAAAGTGACCTCGGTTACAATATGTAAGATATCAAATACTTTCAGAGTACATTAAGTAAAATTATGATATATATATGGATTTTAAAGGGGATTTATTTTCTTTTGTTTCTTAACCCTACTTAACGGTATGTAAGCCCACTTAATCTTTGGCGTATAGTTCAGATATTGGTGTCAGAACGAACAGTGCTAGTCATAAGTGGTTATTTTAAGTCCTGTCAAAGTAAGCGGGTTTATGTGTTTATTAAATCATAGGAACAATTGTGGTTAAAAATCATGCCGTCTCGGTTCCATGTAAAATAAGATTGTCATGTGACAATTGCGCCGTCTCGATTCTATATAAAAAAGACACTGTCATTTTATACTTGTGTGGTGAAAATTACTATTATTTTATACTTGCGTGGTGAAAATAACGCCTTCTCGATTCCATGTAAAATAGCATTGGTATCTCAAACTTGTGTGGCAAAAATTATGCCGTCTCGATTCCATGTAAACTAATATTGTAAACATAATCCTGTGAGCCGAAAATTACGCCGTCTCGATTCAATGTTAAATATCATAGTGTGCTGAAGATTACGCCGTCTCGATTCTATGCATAAATAAAATTGGTATCATAAACTTGTAAAATCATATTGTTATCTTACACGTATATTAACACCATGTTTTTAGAATATACAACATGACTCGTTTCCTTTAGAAAATACAACGTGACTCGTTTCCTTTAGAATATACAATATGACTCGTTTCCTTTAGAATATACAACATGACTCGTTTCCTTTAAAATATACAACATGATTCGTCTCCTTTAGAACATACAACATGACTCGTTTCCTTTAGAATACTTATTGTTTAGCACACTATACTTCTTCAAAATATATGATAGAACACTAACCAGCTTAATGTATGCAAAATAGACAATTGAATATTCAGCATATCATATACTGTAGCATTTTAATTAACTTTAATACACCTCATTTTACTTTATTTTACTGATGGCCGGACAGTAAACATAACCGCACCTCTGACTTAATTGCTTTTAGTTCTTTGTTCTTAGCCTTATTTGGTGACTCCTTGGACTCATAGGAGGCAGTAAAGTGGGAGAGGGTCATATTAGCTTTTCTCTAACCAGGTTTCCTTGATGCAAGATTTCTGTAAAATAAATCGCTACTGACCCATTATGTAATATAAAAGGTCAGTTTTACTCATAGGCGGCGAGGCCATAGTCTTTATTTAAAAAGATTTAAAACGCGATTTTATACAGAACCATTTTGTCCATTTATTTTCTCCGGAGACTTACTAATTTAATTGCTTAAATAAAATTATGAGTTCGTAATATTTTTTTTCGTGGTTATTCTAAAAATCATTTATTTATGATGATATGAATTTGCAAAAGGAACAAATAATAGTTAAAATGTTCTTCCTTTTAAATGTCTGGATATTTCAAATTCGCCCCTAATATTCTCGGGAATTATTCTTGGGAAATATCAATGACTTCAATAATCCCGGTATGTCTGAATGTGGATTAACTTATATAATGTATATTATCTGAAGCTTTTGTAAAAAGTAGTATTAGTTTGGCTGTCAAATATTGATAGAATATATTCCTCCTTTGTTACAGATAAATCTAAACTCCGAGGTGAACATTGTGATATTCAGAACGAGGCTTTGTCCAGTGCTAAAATTAGAAAATCGTATCCTGATGGTTGGAATTTCTCTATTTGCATCACACGAAACGTTATCAGTTTATTTTCAGCTGAATTGCCTTATAGACGTTTGTACATTTTTATATGCGACAAATTTGGAATAACATCAATGAATATCTGAAAAAAAACAGGAATGCAAACAGAATTGGCAGTTTATAATCTACCCCTTATCCTGCAGACTTTCAAGTGTTCGGTATATTAGCACTCATATCTTAACTCTGACAATTAAATTTATCAAATGGTCAGATGTCAATATTATCGAACTCGTTGTTGTCGAGGTGTGATATTTACAAATGGAATTAACATATAACCCGGTCAGTCAATCAACACACTCCTTGGTCAGTCGTAATAATACATGTCAGCGTACCATGGTCATTCAGACCGTATCAAGTAGGTCAAACAGGCCTTTACAGGAGATATATTCAAGTCGTATTTTAAGAATATGGTATCCAGAAATATCCTTTGCTGTAACAGAATAAAGATGTGTTTGGTATGTTGTTTAGCATATTGCTAAAGATGTGTTTGGTATGTTGTTCAGCTTTGTGCTTAATGTAAAATTGATTTTTTTTACGTATCTACTTTTTATCCCTTCAGACTTCAATGAAACCATTCTTATAGACAATCAGACTATACATAACACCCGTCTATAAAGACACTAGCTTAAACTTATTACATATATAATACAAAAAATTCTGAAATCTGTAGAATAACAAAATGTCTATAGTCTGTATACAAAAATGACGCAAAATATATTATTCTTTGTCAAACCAACAAACGGCATACAAAGACCTTCTGTCTATTTAGACTGTTGCAACTTGTAACTTTGTTCCTAATCATACGTATTATCCCCCACCCCCACCCCCACCCCCACTACAACACAACACCTTTTCCAAGTGATTTCATTTAAATGTAATCAGTTCTATCATTTTTCGCTAATGTAACTTTATTTCAAACAGCATTGCTTTTGACAACTTAGCAACTCTTTCCTCATATGATAATCGTCATGCTCAAGAGTAGATATTTAGATTTAGATTAGGTAATTCATGATTCCAACGTTTTCCTGCTAGTATTAAAGTAGTACTTAAGTACGAAATCATGAAATTGCTAAAGTTTTTAATGTAGCTTTCTTACTTCGTATCTCTGGTGAGTATTTAATTTTTGATCCGAAATTGTTTGAAATAAAATTATGTTTTCATTTTCATGTATGTAAGTCCTATATAACTAATAAAATTGTTTTCGTGATCCATGCCTAACTGTGCTGGTATTTTACGTATATACAGTAGCCTTCCCTTAGTTTTGTTTTTATAACTGCAGCACAAATGGGCCAGGAAACTGTCATTGCCTAGGTAGCTCAGTCGGTTAGAGCGACAGTATAACGATTTAAGGTCTAGGGTTCGAATCTCGGTCTAGTCCTGCTGATTTGTAGTACTCTCAAAACATTGTTGTCGATTACATTATGTTTCTTTCATCTTTATTATTTGATTTTCATAAAAGTCCCACAAGGTATAATCATCTGTTTTGAAATTATTTATCAAAGCTACAGTTCCGGAAAAGCAGTTTCCAATGCATAATTACAGTTTTTGGCAGTGGTAAGGGAATCCTCAAATTAGCTTCACAGATTACGTCTTTGTATATGTACAAGTGAAAGTGTGAAGGTGTAGTTACCTATACTCCTTTACCCAACTAATTGCTTTCGAGTTCCACCATAGGCTATTTTCCATTTCAAAAGAAATATCATAATTGAAATAGGCTCAGATATGTTATTACACATCAGAGAACAAACGCCGGCTGATACAAAACCTTCTATAACCTTAACATGATCGGTTATTGATCCCAGCTTCAAACCTTACGGACCATACCTACTCCCACATCAACCGTTACTCTGTTGTCGCTTAACATGTTACAGATAAATCATTTCTATATTTTAAAAAAAAACATGTTGATTTTATATTGTTTTCTATGCCATCGAATGAAACTTTAAACAGGTTTTAAAACAAATAACAATGTACTTATATAAATCATATGACAATAGGTGTTGATATTTCAGCGCAAGCCCTCGGCTGCGATATACAGTAATGAAAGCAAAAAATATAAGAATGAATATCTAAATGATTATAGATTTCAAATATTTGTTAATGACGTATAAAGCATGATTTAAAAGATACACAATAGTTAATGCAAAAGTATAATAATGTAAATAAAACATGAATAAGGAAAATAACTCTAATACAAACTATAAATAAAATATTGAAGGTAGCACACAAGCTTTATAATTGTATTTACCATTTATGAAAATAAGTTAGTTACTTAGCTAAATAAGTTAATTAGTTCTTATTCGTATTATTTTAAACAATAAATACATAGTAAACATGTCTTAAGATTCCCCGTACCACTGCTAAAATTATTTCTTTGAATCGGAAATGTTTTCTCTGGCATGAGGTTAGCTTTGCTAAATCA